AGTGTCATGTAAGTACGAAAGTTCCTCTTAATTACTTCTGACAAATTTGGTACTTTATAGAGAATACACTTTACACTTCTCTAGTGAAATTTACTTGTAAATGTTATATTTGTTTTGATGTTATTGAGAATGGAATTGTTTTTGTAAGTCCATTTTCTGCTTGATGTTGCAAACGTATAGGAATATTTTGATTTTTGTATATTAATCTTGTATCCTGCACCCTTGCTCAAGTTGCTAATTTCTTCTAAGAGTTGTTCGGGGGATTCCTTTAGATTTTCTATATGAAGGTTATGTATCTGCCAAAGGAGATAGTCTTCCTTTTCCCTTTTTAGCCTCTTATTTGTTTTCTTTTATTTCTTTTTTCTTGCCTAATTGTCCTAGCTAGAACCTACAGTACACTGTGGAATAAAAGTGCTGAGACCGAACATTCTTGTTTTATTCCTGATCTTAGGCATGTAAGAGTGAGAGCCAGGCCTGGGTGGTGGGTTAGGGTCCCACGTCCCCATCTGTCTGTGTCCCTGAGTCACTGCCTGGCGCTCTCAGTGCCATCGCCTGGAGCACAGTGATGGACAGATCCGTGCTTGGTATCAGGCCCTGTGGATGGTCAGGGTGGCTGAGTGCTCACAGGTCACTGGGCCCTGCACCTACTGGGCCAGGCAACCATCTGTTCAGTGAGGAGACGCCAGGCCCTGGGGTGCATGGATCCCCTCAAGCCCTTCAGTTTGGGGTCACAGGATGAGGAAGAACCTTTGAAGGCTCAGAGGAGGCCCAGTGCAGAGGCCGTGATGTAGTAGGTGCAGGTCCGCTTGTAGCAGGCATGAGTATTCTAAATATGGCTGCATTCCTTTTATCTTAAAGGCCAGAGAGAGAACAGTTTAGTTGTGCGGGTCATCGGGTCCCTGTCACAGCTCCTTTGCTGTTGTATCATGAAAACCGCTGTAGATGATCCATCAGTGAGAGTGGCTGCATTGCAGTGACACTTATTTTTAGCAAAAGAACAGAAAGTGAGCACCACTCGTCCTGTGACCCAGAGTTGCCGGGCCCTGCTGCCAGTCAGTGGTCATGGAGGTCCTGGGTCCCAGGAGGCGAGACCTTGGGCCAGCAGCCCGGGGACAGACGCAGACCCTCGCAGAGAGCGGGGCAGGGCCCTGTTCCTGTGATTCTTGGTTCTGTGGGATAATGAGTCACAGTTCCCAGAGGATGCCATAGGGACACTGCAAGTATCCCCTGGACCTTCATCTGTAACTCTCCTGGTCCCCTCGGGCTTCTTCTGACTCCACTGGTGTCCTGGGTGGGGCCGATGGGTCTCAGCTGGAGGCCTTGCAGCCGTGGCCCTGGGAGGAGGGGCAGCATGCTGACCATGTGCCAGGGGACCCCTGTCCGCACTATGGGGACACCTGGGAGTCTGGGGACGAAGGGCAGGGAGCTCAGAGGATCTGGATGCCATACATGGGACCAAGTCAGGGTCTCAGGGTGAGGGCGGATCAGCATGTGGGGATGAGGGTGTGGCTGTGTGGGGAGCACTTGACCCAGAGGCAGGTGCTGACTCTGCCTGCCGTCACCCTGAGGACTCCTCTCAGTTCTCTCCTCTGCATCTGGAGCTGAGCCCAGACACAGTGACACAGGCTTCAGTATCATTCATGGATCAGGGGGGAGAGAGCGAGAAAGAATACCTCCACCTGGGGGATGGAGGGGACGTGAGACTGGGCAGCAGGGGGCATGGGCCTACCCTGGGGGGTCCCCGAGGCCTCCACTCCTGCAGGGGCTCTGAGCTGTTGGTCTCCTGGGTCATCCTGGACTTGGGGCAGAGCATTGGGATCTCAGCCTCAGGCAGTCCTGACCCGAAGCTCTCTGAGAAGGGGCAGAAATGCTGGGGAGCCAGTTTTCTGCGACCAACAGTCCTTCCCAGTGAGGGGACCCCTGTGAGCTCAGGGGCTCCCCTGCAGGGGTCAACTGTGAAGGGGGCACCTAGGCTGATCCCACAGTGGGCCCTGACCTGCTGCCCCCTCAGGACCCATGCCACTGGGGGAGGCTGGGTGGCAGGGAGTAGCTGTGCTGGGCAGGACACGGCCTATGGAGAAGTGGCAGTGGCCCTGTCATGGTCCCCACATGATGGGGCTCCAGGGGCCATGATGGAGATGGACGTGAAGCAGATTTCCTGGTCCCTTTTTTTTTTTTATTAAGGTACCACTGATACAGACTCTTATGAAGGTTTCCCAAGAAAAACAATGTGGTTACTATTTCTGGCTCTTTTGAACATTGCATACCATCAGGAGTCTCAGTACCTGTTGTGTGGAGACATTTTGCATATTCAGTCTGATTGGTTATGTCCCCTGTGTATTTATCAAATAACTGTATCACATCTTTGATTCATCACTGGTGTTGCTTATTGGGTTCTGAGAATGTAAAGATTTCTCATTTGTTTCTATTTAATCATGTGGCTGAGGCCGGGTATCAGCAATTGAGAGCACAGGTTCCTGATTTAAACTTGTTTGGTGATTAGTATTAGCAGCTGTGAGATCTTTTGAAAGCCCTTTCCCACTTGATTTCAGAAGAGCGGGCCTGAAAGGCCTCTGTGCTGTCTCCCTCCTGCTCAAGCCTCAGTTTCAATACAGCTTTGTCCAAGCTAGAGTTTGAGTCTGATGCTACTTATTCCAGCAGGCAGAACTCAAGGACCGTAGGTCAGCAACAGATGTGCGTCTGTCCTTCCCTTCAGGCCTCTTTCCCTATCACGGTGCCATTGGGACAGCAGCAGGCAGCCTGCCCACACAGCCCAGAGTCCATATGACCAGGCTCTGCAGAGCCGCCCAGGGTCTCAGATCTGGGGAGCGGGGTCACATGCTCACAGCTTGGTCTAAATCTTCCTGGGGCCGGAGGGGACACGGAAGGGAAGGGGTTTGTGTCTCTCTGCCCCACCTGCCTGTGTCACTGTGAGCATTATCACCGTCCCACAGTTAACAGTAATAGCCTCGTCCTCAGCCCAGGCCCCGCTGATGGTCAGGGTGGCCGTGTTCCCCGAGTTAGAGCCAGAGAACCGGTCAGGGATCCCTGAGGGCCGTTTGCTGTCTTCATAGATGAGCAGCCTGGGGGCCTGGGTGGGCTTCTGCTGGTACCAATAAGCATTTTTACTTCCAATGTTGGTGCCCCCACAGGTGATCCTGGCCGTCCGTCCTGGGGGCATAGACACTGAGAGGACCTGGGTCAGCTCGTAGGAGGCCACCAAATCTTCAAGAAAGGAAATAAAGATGCGCTTCTAACTTAGGGTCTCACCCCCTAGGGACATCCACCTGCCAGAATAGACTGGGGTGCAGAGATTTTGCTGCCTCCAGAGAACTGCCCCCCATCAGTCTCAGTCCCTGGGACCCACAGGCCCGGTGGTGCATGGAGTCTTGGATCTAATGGTCCTGTGTGGGTCCCACATGGACGACATTCCACTGTGTCCACGGATGCCCCCTAGAATGGCTAAGCAGACCAGAAGACACTGAGGGAGGGTGTGCCCTTGACAGAGAAGGAAGGCTGGAGAGGGAGTGTGGGTCCCACAGTAGCTTCAGAAGGAGGGAGAAGAGCCGAGGCTCTTGCCCTTCTGTGTCACATGCTCCTCCAGCTCCAGATAGATGTGGACAGAGTCATGAGCAGGTGGCCGAAATCCCCAGATCTGAGACCACCCCCCTGCACACACCTGTCAGCTCCCCCCTCCCAGCCATCCAAGCAGGTTGCACAGAGGGTGAAATCAGGTTGAATTTATGCCTGGAAGCACGAGGTGGTGCTGTTGCTGCCTGGCTTGGTTATGAGTTGGGAAATGTGGACCTGCTTTGAAGGGCAGACAGAGGGTGACATGCACCCAGTGGTAATTGACCCTGAATTTCCGTCTCAGGGTAACTGGGCCTTTCCTGAGCCCAACTGTGCTGGATTAATCCCCCATTTCCCCACCTCATGGCAGCTGGGATTCCAAACAGCAGACGTGTGCAGTGGATGCTGTAGTGTCCACCTAGGTCCCCTCCTCCACCCTGACCCGCCCACGTCCCCTGCCCGGAGCCCCTGGCAGCTCACAGCTGAACCGTGGCTGGGAATTGCTGTGTAGAGGATGCCTCCCCCAGGCTGTGCCCTTTCAGACTGGGGCTCTGTCCACTCAGACACCTGCCTGAGCCCGGAATGCAGGTCCCTGCCTCATGCGGGGTGACCTTGCAGGGCCTCCCAGCAGAGTCCTCAATGGTCACCTCGCTGCAGATCGGCACAGTGTTGCCTTCACACTCATTTCCAGAGAGCTCTCCCCAAAGCCCATGCTAGCAATTCTCCATCGCTAAGGTGCCTCCATGGAGCCCCAAAAGCAAAAAGTTTCACAGGGAATAGGGTGGAGAGAGTGCGCAGTGTACAGAGACCGTACTGGAGTCGGGATGTTATGAGCTGATGTCTCCTTGTCTGGGAGGAAGCTTCCTGAGGCCAAGAACAGAGCCACCCAGAGACGGTAGAGGGACCCGCAGAGCTCACACACCCTCAGTCAGGAGGGGTGCTTGTAACCCATCCCTGAATGGGAAACTCCTAAATCAGGGCCATCAGGTTGCCTCAACGGTGTGGGAAATCAGCCAAGGACTAACACTGGCCCAAGTCCAGCCAAGAAAGTGTAAAAGCAAGTTGAGAAAGGATCAGACTCTTCCCAAGGACTTCGCTGAATCTAGAAGGAATCTAAAAATGGAGAGGAATACAGATGCATTCTGCACAGGACAAGGAAACATTCACAAGGTGTGGCATCCCAGCCGGGCCTCCTGCGCGGGAGCAGGGAACCAGGAGCCACCCCTAGGAACAAATCCATCCATCCCAGCTGGTCTGGAACCACACCAGTGATTGACTCTGCAGGCCAGGATGCAAAATTAAGAATTAGGACTATGTTCCTTTGTACCGGAGGGCATAGGGATGGTTGAACATCTTCAGTGGGTGTGACACAGAAGGGGAAGGGGTTTGTGTCTCACTTCCCCATCTGCCTGTGTTACTGTGAGCCTTACCATCATCCCACACTTGACAGTAATAGTCAGCCTCGTCCTCAGCCCGGGCCCCGCTGATGGTCAGGGTGGCCATGTTGCCCGAGTTAGAGCCAGAGAACCGGTCAGGGATCCCTGAGGGCCGTTTGCTGTCTTCATAGATGAGCAGCCTGGGGGCCTGGGTGGGCTTCTGCTGGTACCAATAAACATTTTTACTTCCAATGTTGTCACCCCCGCAGGTGATCCTGGCCGTCCCTCCTGGGGACACGGACACTGAGGGGGCCTGGGTCAGCTCGTAGGAGGCCACGGAGCCTGAATGAAAGAAAAGAGAATGGGCTTCCCGCTTTGGGTGTCATCCTAGGAGACCCTCCTACAGCCCTGCCCTGGACTGAGCCCCTGGGTTTCTCAGGGCCCCTGGGGCACCCCTCCCATCGTCTCAGCCCCAGGGGCCCACGGGCCTGGCTGGTGGATGGAGCCTTGGATCTAATGGGAATCCACCGCCCCAGCCCTCAGGGCCCCCACGCAGCAGGGAGCACGGGGGCTCTCAGCCGGCAGCCCCGCATCCACCGCAGGTCCTGAGCATCCTCCCCCGCGGGCAGCCCCGCTGAGCTCAGAGTCAGGCCAGGCCGGTCCCAGAGCCCTGGGCGGGAGCGGGAGTGTGCCTGGGCAGCACCTGTGCAGTGAGCCAGGAGGCCCAGCAGGAGAGGGGTCCAGGCCATGGTGGAGGCGCCGGTTCTGCTCCCCGAGGCCTGAAGCTGGGCAGGGGGTCCCCCAGGCCTCTTTTATTCCCTTGCTGGAGGGAGCTGCTGGGGATGCAAATGAGCTGGGACTCAGGGGCTGCTGTGGGAGGATCTCTGGGGACTCAGAGAAGGGCTGGGCCCCAGGGGGCCCAGGGAGGGAAGGCTGGCCCCTGCAGACCCACCTCAGCCCCGGGGCCCTCCCTCCCTGCTGGTCCCACAGTCTGACGTCTCTACCTCACTCTGCACCCTGTCCTTGCTTCCAGCTTGGCCACACCTGAGCTTAGAGGTGGCGTCTGGTTTATATTCCAGGACACAGGAGGACCTGCTTGGTGAGAGTCCGGGCTGCTCGGGAAGGTGCCAAGGTGCCAGGGAGATGGGGATGCTGAGCTCTTCCTGGGCCCAGGTCCCCCCTCTGCTCCACCTGAGCTCAGGAGGGGGTGGCTACTGTCCGTGAGTCCCCAGGGCTTTGTCCTGATTGAGGGGGTGGAGCCACATGCTGGTCTGGTCCTGACTCCACATCAGGTCTTTGCTGATGCTCCTCATCCCGGGGCAGTGACCCTCCTCACCCCCATTCGCAGAGTGACACTGCGAGGCTCGGACAATGGCAAGGGCTTCCTGGATCACAGCCCATGAACTGTGGAGCCAAGTTTGGGTGTCATCCTAGGAGACCCCCCTACAGCCCTGCCCTGGACTGAGCCCCTGGGCAAGATTCCTCGCTTGTCCAGGTACACGGGGTTCAGAGATCCCCCGAGGGCCTGTCAGTGTCGTCCCCTGGCAGTGGGCCCGTGGGCAGGGTGCAGGGCTAGAGGCCCAGGGTCCAGGAGGGGTGCTCGGAGCTGTGGACTCGCAAGACCTGATGGAGTACAACAGTGAGTGTTGGACCTAAACTGTGATAAACTCATATGAAATTTAATTATAATTAAGTTGCCTTCAATTGTGAGTATTAAAATACATAATTTAGTAAATGAAGTGAAGTGTAATTTGGAGTGCTGTGTGCCTGAGGAGGAAAAGGGAAAGAAAATATTGGCACCAGGCCCCTGGGGAGAAAGCGGGAAGGAGGAGCTTCTCCCAGCAGGACAAGAGGCTGTCAGAGCAGAGGAGGGGTGGGGGTATGCATCAGTGTCAGGGGGACCCTCCAGACAGCCTCTCTCTGCGTTCAGGTGTCAGGTCGCGTGTCAGGGCCTGGGTGCTGATCCCCTTGCATGGGGACGCCCAGCCCCCATCACAAGCGGCTTTGCCCTGGGACTCTGCTGCCCCCTGGTGGTCGCTGCACGCTGGCCGCTGAGGCGCAGGGGTCCTCTGGGGAGGTGCAGATTCAGACCCTGCCACTCAGGTCTGGATTCTACCCTCTGCAGAGCTGCCTGAGGGGCTGGGAGGGGAGGGAGGTCACGGGATCTCAGATGCGGGGACCTGCACACACCTGCTCATGCTTTGTTTTCATCCTCCTGGGCAGGAGTTCAGAGATGCTCAGGGAGGTGGAGTTGTCCGTGTGGAGTGTGGGGTCTGTGGGTTTGATGTTTGACTGCACCCCTTAGCAATAGAGGCCGAGCCAGGAACCATTGTCACCAGGAGATGTGCTTAGATCCCCAGTGTCACTGCTGCATCAGCCCAGGAGGTGGTGACCATCTGTCCAGGGGCCCAGATGCCCAGAGAGGCTGAGTCAGGACAGAAAGGCGCTGAACTCCAGGGAGGGACAAGTGTGGTTGGGCCACTGGAGAGCCAAGACCCTGGGGACTCTGCGTGAACTGCCGCTCAGGCTGGGTCTCCCCAGGGTGACTGTCGCAGTGCCGGAGGTGAGCAGGAGCAGAGTCACTCAGAGGGTGGTCCTCGGAGGGCCAGAGGCATGATCTCCCTAACCAGGGCACTTAGACGCCTGATCCCGGGGCTCCACCCGGACCTGTGGGGCTGCGTCTGCACCTGTGCAGACCCCCCAGGGGGCTTGTGGCTCCCTGAGGGCTCAGAAGCCCTGGTCTCGGCCACATGGAGACTCTCGCTTCCTCCTGCTAGTCCCCCAAATCCTTCCTGGGACACCTGGGTCTCGGGGCCTCAATGGCCTGCCCTTGTCAACCGAGTTTCACTCAGAGTCCAGACTCTGTGATCATGGGGAATAAATGGTGTGAGAATAGACTCTTTAGAAGCAGCATGGGGTTTGTGTTGGGAGTGGGGAGACCCCAGTGGTTCCCAGGCAGAAGCAGGAGGCCCCTGTGGGTCTCTGGTGTCACTGAGCTGCAGCCCATTCAGATGCCCTGCTTTCTACCTATGTCAGCATCTCTTCCATCCCCCAGCCTCTGTATGAGTTTCTCTCTGGCTGAAACCCTTCCGGGGGACCCTCCTCACCCAGTGTCAGCTTAAATCCTAGTCCTTTCAGTTCTGGGTGCATATCATGTCTAGGAAGTGGCCTCTTCTGCCAGAACACGGGGACACACACCTTTATCATTTAATAAAAGTATCCTCTCAGATGTTGGGGACCTCCAAGTTTTTTGCCTGGAATAACCCCCCATCCCATCTCTGCACCTCCCATGTTACCTTTTATGATTACGTAATAGAACTAGAAAGACAACCAAAAGCCACGTCTGCTTGCAAAGAAACGCTGTGACTATTGAGAGATCAGGATATGTAGTCCTTTATTCTACCAATGCGGTCTACTTTATTAACTGTTTTCAGGTGTGACAATAAGCTTGCTTTCCTGTGATAAGAAGCACAAGGACATAGCATGTATTACTTTTACTTCATTGCTGGAATAGGTATTCTAGTCTTTTAGGTCATATGAAGCTGTCCTGCCGCTCAGAGAGGTTCTGATCATTATTATTATAATTATTATTTTGGTATCATTAATCTACAATTACATGAGGAACATTATGTTTACTAGACTCCCCCCATCACCAAGTCCCCCACACATACCCCATTATAGTCACTGTCCGTCAGCATAGTAAGATGCTATAGGATCACTACTTGTCTTTGTGTTGCACTGCCCTCCCCGTGCCACCCCCTGACATTATACATGCTAATCTTAATGCCCCCTTTCTTTTTCCCCACCCTTCTCCCTCCCTTCCCACCCATCCTCCCCAGTCCCTTTCCCTTTGGTAACTGTTAGTCCATTCTTGGGTTCTGTGAGTCTGCTGCTGTTTTGTTCCTTCAGTTTTTCTTTGTTCTTATACTCCACATATGAGTGAAATTATTTGGTACTTGTCTTTCTCCACCTGGCTTATTTCACTGAGCATAATACCCTCTAGCTCCATCCATGTTGTTGCAAATGGTAGAATTTGTTTTCTTCTTATGGCTGAATATATTCCATTGTGTGTTTGTACCATCTCTTCTTTTCCATTCATCTACTGATGGACACTTAGGTTGCTTCCATATCTTGGCTATTGTAAATAGTGCTGCGATAAACATAGGGGGTGTATATGTCTCTTTCAAACTAGGCTGCTGCATTCTTAGGGTAAATTCCTAGGAGTGGAATTCCTGGGTCGAATGGTATTTCTATTTTGAGCTTTTTGAGGAACCTCCATACTGCTTTCCACAATGGTTGAACTAGTTTACATTCCCACCAGCAGTGTAGGAGGGTTGTTTCTGGTCATTATGTCATTTGATTTCCTTCTGTGTTTCATTCACAGCTCTGTCACTGAGGTCACTGATCATTTCATTTGTAGCATCTACTCTGCTGTCCGTCACATCTACTGCATTTTAAAATCTCAGATATTGTAGATTTATTTTTAGAAGTTCAATTTGGATCCTTTTAATAGCCCCATTTTCCAGTTAACATGTCCGATGATTCCATTCCCCTCAGGCATGAATGGAATAGAGATATAAAAATTCTTTTGTATCCTTGTCAACAAATAATATCTGGGCGGTTTCAGGGCCATACTGGGTAATTAATCTGTGTACTTATTTTGGTCATGTTTTCCTGATTCTTTGCAGGAATTTGGACAGGCTGGGAGGTACTGTGAATTTCCCCTGTTGAGTACAGCATACTGTGAATTTCTGCATATATAACTATTTTTGTTTTTGGATTCAGTAAAGTCACATGGACACAGGTGCTCCTTTCCAATGAGCCTCCCCCTGTCAGGTGGCCCCAGAGCGGGCTGGGTTCCAGGGCTCATTTCCCCACGACTGTGGTTCCTCCTTTTGAGTCGTCCCCCGAGGCCTTGTGAGGAGCCTCTTCCTCTGCCTGGGGCAGCAGCCTTGTCCTGGCCGTGGGTGTGGGGCGGGGGTGACCCCCGCGGGACATCCCTTCATGTCTAGGGTGGTTCTTCCTCTGCCTCACGTGGTTCGTATGAGGAACATTCACACTGAGTTTTCTCTCTGGGCAGCTCTCTCCTCTCCCAGAATCTTCTGTCTAAACAGTTCCTGTGCTATGTGGCTCTCTGGAAGCACGGTCTGGCATGGGGGTTGCACACAGTAGGCATGTGGGGTGAACTCTCAGGCAGAAAGCCTGGTGTCACGACTGTGCAGACAAGCAATGTGGCGACGATGGAGGCCTCAGCTGGGCGGCCCTGCAAGGTTGTCCTGACCCGAGGGAGGACCTGGGGTCTCAGCCTCAGGCATCCTTTCACCTGAGTCGCATCAGGGCATAAGCCTGGGGAAGACAGCTCCCTGCACACAGTGGTCCTTCCCAGGGAGGGGGGCTGTGAGCACCCGGGGCTCTCAGCTGCGGGGTGTGGGTGCATCAGGTCTGAAGAAGGAATGTCCGTGACACCAGTGTCCCCTGCACTGCTTTGCTTCACTCAGAATCTGAGGCTGGAACCTGGGGCTTCAAGAAATCAGCTGTGCCAGGAGGTTCTAGGGGTAAAAGTAGAATGTTGAGCCAGGGAGTGCCCCAGTCACCAGTAATGGAACTCCGAGCCCTTCACATGCACCTGAGTCTGCATGTCTGCCCATCACTTCTTTCCTACTCCAGCTGAGGACAAGAAAACCGCCTCAGCCTGCAGCTGCAATGCACTTCCGATCCGGACCCTGCAGAGCTGCCAGCGGCAGATGGGGACGCTGCGGGGGAGTCTCAGATCTGGGGAACTGTGCCACCTGCTCCCATGCTTTGTCTACGCCCTCCTGGGGCTGGAGGGGACACAGAC